AAACTCGTAAGCCAAGGCCCCACTGTATGTATTTTTTTTAAAAAAAAAAAGAAACTTTTGGAGGCTACAGAAGCCCCTCTAAGCTTTCCCATGTCAGCTTTCCCACCCTCCTCCCCTCAGTGCCCAACATAGCTCTCCCTTTCTCTCTCTCCTATTGTTCTCCAAACATCCCTCCCTTCATAAAAGCTGTCTGGCTGGGAGCTTAAAACCTTGCCAGACAGTAAAACCTACCCATCAGGGCCAATCCAGTCATATCTGCTCAGTCATGCAGCACACAGGGGTGGGGTAGGGAAGCGGGAGGTAGGCTTTTAGGCGCCAAAGGAACGCAGCTGAAGTCGCCATTTTGCTGCTGAGCACCAAGGGAGAAGGAGGGCGCGCATCTCTCCAGGGGACCCTCCTCTCACTGGCAAGTTTGCTTTGGGTGATATTAGTTTGTAGCCTTCCCGTCCCCACCCACTTCTTTCCCAGCCTAATCTAAGGGCCATTCCTGGGCTTCTCCAAAAGGGAAAAGCTTGCCGCTAAGATGGGGTCTTGGGTTGGGATGGCTGGACTGAGAATTCAGTTCCAAAAACCCTCTTGGAATTGGCCAGAGAGTTGGCAGAGGTGTGGAAAGGGAAGGTGAGGGGGGCTCAGAGATGTCCAGAATCTAACTACAATTGGACTGGCTAGGGTCTTTTCCGTTTGCAGAATGAATGACCAGGCCTCCAGGAATCCAGGGCCGTGTATTTGATGTTTATGAAAGAGTTTTGTACTTTTTCACTCAGCCTCTGCAATGGCAGTGACAGAGATCACTACTGAGTGCTGTGGGGGCAGGGGAGGCTTGGTGCTCAGCATTTTAGATGTTGGGGTGCTTCACGGATCACAGGAAGGGGTCTGGCTAAGGACTGTAAAACTCTGCCTGGGGGTAGGTTCTGTTATCTCTCACAGGAGCTACTGGCTAAGAGAATGCTCTAGAAACAGGAATGCAGGCACAGTCACAGTTCCTTACCAGCCGGCATAGTAAGTGGTCATCGAATCCTTTGGGGAACTTGTTAATATGGATATGGAGGTGTTAGTCTGCCTCTTTAAAGCCAGGAGAAATCTGTGCTGTACTGGAAATTGCCCTGAGCTTGTCGCTGGAAAACCATGGCCCACATCCCCCTCTGCCCTCACAGGCTGAGCCATCGTAGGAGACTTCTTTTACCTCCTCGTCTGTCTCCCTACCTGGTCATGGGAGCTGCTAATGCCTACTTCACTAGATCTCAAGCACCCACCTGTGGACCTGTCAGTTCTGGTCCCAGTGCATTTTTCAGCAGCCTGTGACAGAAAGGTGAGAACGGAGTGGCAAACAGCGAAGTAAACTTTCCACCTCGTTACATGTGTTTGATTTAAAGGCCTGTCTTTCGTTCTGAAATTATATTATTTCTAGTTGTTTGGTATTAAAGTTCTCCTTTTATGAAATGATGGTGAAAACAGACTGTAGTCATAGTTAGTGATTTAATAAGTGTCTCATTTCTATGTCCTGGCTTGGCAAAATAAGAAGTTGGCAGCCTATGCTGGTCACCCCATTTTGTTGTTGTTGTTGTACTAGCCTGTGAAATCCAGGTCTGGGAATCACTGACCTAGTTCACAGGATGTTATGAGGACTGAAATCCGATATGTGAGAGTATGTCATTCATAACTAGATAAGGGCTACCCAGCCCTGAGGTGTTCTTTTAATCGTTACCGAAAACCAGGTCCCTGGCGGGATGCTCTGGCGGATGGCCTGGGGCGGGAAGCCGGAACTCCATGGTTCCGTTTCCATCTGTTCACTAAATGTTCACAAGCAAAAGAAAACAGAGAATTGCATCTTTGAAGAAGAGAAGAGAAACACTCTTTCCGCTTCCCCACGGCTCCAGGGGAGCTGCTTGCTGACTTCCTTCACGTGTACTTTGTGCTGTCAGACACCAGGACCCTACGGCACATGCCCTGGGCCCTCCAAGGCCTGCCTCCTTAACAGCACACCGGACCTGCTTCAACGACATGGAATTGAGAAGATTCCGTCCTAAGTTACAGTTCCCCTCCTTCCTTTTTACCTTGTAACTAGACTTTAAAAACAAAAACACACGCAAATAGCCCTAGCATCGCAGGGAGGGGTGTGGGAGAGACGGCTTGTCTGGCTTGAGTTTAGAAAGTGCCAGTTGGGTGGTCAGGAGGGTCTTCATGTGTCTTGAACATGTGTCATGACGCTCATGTTTGATCTAATCCAAAACACTGTCTCCAAACAGCAACTTTGGGATCAATGTATTATCCTTTGCTGTTGGTTTGCCATCTCCCCCTGCTCCCTGCAGCAAAGGGACTTGCGTTCCCTAGACGCTAAGTGATACTGATATGACATGCGCTCGGGGAGTGAGAATTCCGGATTTCAGGTCATTACTGTTGGTCCCGCCACTGGTGTCTGTGGAGCTCCCCCTCTGTGATGGTCTTGGTCCTGTGTCATGATCTTCCCGGAAGATGAAGACAACATGGTACCTGCCTCCCAGAGCTTTGATCCCAACGGGGGAAAACAAGACTGTTCACCTACAGTCCCGAGGGCATGTGCTTGCCGCATGCTTTCATGTGTGCACATGAGTGAAATAGACACAGAAATCCCACAGGACTAGTATGGTGCGATACAAGGAAGATTTCAAAGCCGAGTTGACATATCAGTGGGGATAAACATTAGCAAGGCTAGAGCTACTGGTAGAGTACATCAATGCCAGACATGCTCTTATAGGAGCAAAATGCAGTTGTAGTTTTAACATGAATGTTCGGATTCATTATTTGGTAAGAAATTCTGGTTTTACTTAATTAATTTATGCATTTATTTATTTATTTTTGCTCTACCACCAATAGGATTTACACTTGGGCTGCTTACCTGATTGCGCTATTTCCTATTTGTTTTGTTTTATTTTGTTTTTTGTGGGGTCTTTTTGGAGGAGGATGTGAACGGCTGCCACTCTTCACAGGCCAAGCACTGGGTTTAGCTCTGAGGAGCATTCACAGCAGAAGCAGAACTAGATCCGTGCACCTGAGATTCTGAACTGCTGGTGCCGAGCAGAGGGCCCTCTCTCGCTCTCACTTCCCCGTTCCTCCCAGGAGCTCTTCCCCGCGCCAGTCATGCCCGGGGAGCCACAGCTGCTCTCACCCTCCGGGAGGAAAGACGCTGCTGCTGGAGGCCTCGCCTAATTGGGGGTGTCTGGGGCTCCCAGAAGAACAAAGCCCTCTGCTCCCCAACAAGCAGCAGATAGCTGATGTGTGTACCCTGAGAGCCTAAGTTGCAGTCAGTGTTGGCAACCGAGGGCTGGGTGGCCAGCCCCGAAGCACAGGTCGGAAGGAGGCTTTAGGATGCCATTTGGTTTCTCTCCTCCTCAAGCTGAAAATCACACCTCACTTAAGATCCCACTTTCACCACTCACGCAAGCGTCGAACCAATATCACTGTCCTTAAGAGTCGCGGGCATATTCCTTTGGCCCCAGGCGACTTCAGATCCTGTGGGACGGACAGGCTGGGAGAAGCCCAGAGCAGCAGGTCTCAGAGAGGCTCCTGCCCCGGGGTAAGGGCAGCCATGAGTAAATGCCGCAGCTCCAGAGGCATCCGTGGGAGGAACATCTGTCCGAGATGCAGTGGGAGTTTCGTGGTCGTCCTGCAGAGGCCACAGCTTGCACGCCAGCGGCCCAGGGTGGATGACCCAGTGCACACCACCGCTGTCCCTCCACCCCGTGTGCATGAGTTGCTGCTGTTGCTGTCGCTAGGGCATCGTAGACTATCGTGTTTAATGGTGGGCTTTTTGTTGTCACAGGGCAGTTTTAGCTGTTAAACCACCGCATTCCAGACCCTGGCACCCTTCATCCTGCAGGACACTAACCGTCCTCACGGCCTTCTGTACTGCAGACGTGACTCCTTACGCAGCACTCCCCCTTCCGCGGCTCTAACCGAGCAGTAATAACAATTGTAAGATACTGTTCTTGGTTTGTAATGCTGTCGAGAAGGGCCTCCAGGTTTCAACCTGGAGGGAGGAAACGTAAATTAAGGATACGGGGTCAGAGAACCGGTCGCTCTGACCCAGGCAGGCGTTTCCGGGGTGTCAGGGAAAAGACCACCTTGGAATCCGGCAGCCAGAACTGCCGCTCAGTGTATCCTAGACTCTGTGTGACCTCCCTGCGCCTCCGTTCCCTCCTGTGCGGGACTGCAGTCTGTTGGCAGTCACTTCTGGGGCTCTGATCTCTGCTCTGCTCTGTGGCAAGCGCTGCGTCTACAGCTGGGAGTGCACAGGTGGGGCCACACCCTCACAGACATGAAATAATATCATGTCCAAGGCCTATTGCAAAGTACTCAGTCAATGCCAGTTTCCTTCTAACAGACCATCATTATATAGCGCTACATGTCAAAAGTAAGAGAGCTGCCGACTATGTCCTACCTCCATAGTTCTGTGTGGGCCCAGCCGCCCATGGCACACGGACTTAGCATTCTGCCTCGTGGCCCTTCTTCCTGCCTGTGACCTGGATTTAATCCCACGTAACCACGGATTGCTATCTGTGGTCCACAATGCATCTGTATTTTAGGTGAAGTTCAGGGAATTATACCCACATTTATCCTTTTTTAAATATTGTTTTATTGATTTCAGAGAGGAAGGGAGAGAGAGATAGAAACAGCAATGATGAGAGAGAATCATTGACCGGCTGCCTCCTGCACGCCGCCTACTGGGGATCAAGCCTGCAACCGGGGCAGGTGCCCAGACCGAGGAATCGAACCCGTGACCTCCTGGTTCATTCCACATGACGCTCAACCACGGAGGCCCGCAGGCCCAGCACATTGACCCTTTTAGGTGGCTTGTGAAGTCAGTGAGAACCGGTATTACATTAAATCAAATTTACAGATACTGGAGCTGCTAGAAGCAGATTCTCTGAGGCCCCTTGGTCCCCTGGCCCTGCTCTGCGCGGAGGACCCGCTGGGGGCACCGCCGCCGCTCACTCTGCCTCCTCCCCTGCAGGCAGCCAGCGATGGGCGACTGGAGCTTCCTGGGGAACATCCTGGAGGAGGTGAGCGAGCACTCCACCGCCGTGGGCCGCGTGTGGCTCACGGTGCTCTTCATCTTCCGCATCCTCATCCTGGGCACGGCCGCCGAGCTGGTGTGGGGCGACGAGCAGGCCGACTTCGTGTGCAACACGCAGCAGCCGGGCTGCGAGAACGTCTGCTACGACGCGGCCTTCCCCATCTCGCACATCCGCCTGTGGGTGCTGCAGATCATCTTCGTGTCCGCGCCGTCGCTCGTGTACGTGGGCCACGCGGTGCACCGGGCGCGCGCGGAGGAGAAGCGCGCGGCGCGCGGGGCGCGGGGGCCGGGCCCGGCGGGCGGGAGGGAGCCGGGCGGCGGCCCGCAGGGCGCCCGGCGGTTCCGGCTGGAGGGCGCCCTGCTGCGCACCTACGTGGGCCACATCGCCTGCAAGAGCCTGTTCGAGGCGGGCTTCGTGGCGGGCCACTACCTGCTGTACGGGTTCCGCATCCCGCCCCTCTACCGCTGCAGCCGCTGGCCCTGCCCCAACGTGGTGGACTGCTTCGTGTCGCGGCCCACGGAGAAGACCATCTTCATCCTGTTCATGCTGTGCGTGGCCGCCGTGTCCCTCCTGCTCAACCTCCTGGAGATGAGCCACCTGGGCCTGAAGCGGGTGCGCTCCGCCTTCCGGGGGCGCGTGGAGCCGCCGCCGCCCGGGGAGGGGCCCGAGACGCCCCTGCGCTCCATCGCCGTGGCCTCCGTGCAGAAAGCCCAGGGCTACCAGCTCCTCGAGGAAGAGAAGATCGTGTCGCACTACTTCCCGCTGGCCGAGGCCGGCCTGGGGGAGGCCAGCCCGCGGTCCGCCCAGCCCTTCCGGCGGCTGGAGGAGAGGAGGGGCGCGGGGCCCCCGGGGGGCCTGCCCGGGGCTGACCCGGAGGCGCTGCGGTCCTTCGCGCAGGTGGGAGCCCCGGGGTGTGAGCGCGACGAGCAACCGGGGGAGGAAGGGGCGGACCCCGAGCGGGTAGCGGTGGCGGAGAGGCAGGAAGGGGAGAGAGTGAGCACCGACGGGCGGGAGACCCCGGCGGTGGAGGGGGAGGACGAGGCCTCCCGGGTGGGGAAGGAGGGGGAGGAAGGAGAGCTACCGGCTGAGAAGGTGGCGAAGCAAAGGCTGCCGGCCGAGAAGGCACCTTCCCCGGGTGCAGAGCTGGCTGGGGATGACACCAGGCCCCTGAGCCGGTTGAGCAAAGCCAGCAGCCGGGCCAGGTCCGATGATCTGACCGTATGAGGTGGTGCCAAAGGAAGAAAGAGAACACGCGAGCTGGCCTAGGGGGCCAGGCGAAAGGAAAAATGCCCACAGGAGCCGAGTCTTCTGCCCCTCCCCTCGCACCCATGCCTGGTCGCACAGTGCAGGCTGCACAATCAGTGAACTGTCTTTCCCGTATGTAAGGGCTACCAAGACAAAGCCATCAGTCTCCTATGGCTGCCCTGCCCTCTACCCCAGCGGCTGCGGGACTCTGCATCGGTCCCCATTTCTCCATAGAAATCCTTCTGATCAGACTTACGACTGCCTCCTACCTTTGTACTAGCCTTGCCTCAAGCTCACTCAGTGGACTTTGTCACCCAGCCCTTCCCCAGCAAAGACCATGTGGCCCTGTACCAGGAGTTCCAAAGGCAACCTCTAGAGCAGTGGTTCCCAACCTTCCTAACGCCGCGACCCTTTAATACAGTTCCTCATGTTGTGGTGACCTCCAACTATAAAATTACTTTCGTTGCTACTTCATAACTGTAATGTTGCTACTGTTATGAATCGTCATGTAAATATCTGATCTGCAGGATGTATTTTCATTGTTACAAATTGAACATAATTCAAGCATAGTGATTAATCACAAAAACAATATGTAATTATATATGTGTTTTCCGATGGTCTTAGGCGACCCCTGTGAAAGGGGCGTTCGACCCCCAAAGGGGTCGCGACCCACAGGTTGAGAACCGCTGCTCTAGAGGCTGCAGTTGGTGAGGTGGGCCTGTTCGCATGCCCTGGAAGCACTGGGACTGTGAACACTGGAGAGCAGAGTGCAGCTGCCGCTCCCAGGCTGTGGCTCCCAGGCCGTCTGATTTTTCAAGAGAAGCCAGAAACGCAAACATTTAAGTGAGATTTCCAGTATTTTTAATGTTGCCCACTAAGTTTTAAATATGCCCATGAGGATCAGACAAATCATGTGTATGCTTGGGGCACCAATCTGCAAGGTCAGCACACTAGTACACGAGTGAGCCCCGCTTTCCTGTGCTATTGGTCATTTTTTTTTTTATGGTTTCAATTTGTTTCTGTGGCTTCTGAACCCCTTTGCACCATTTTTGAGTGTTCAGTTGAAATCATCAGTCTAAGATCCCAGCCTTCGGGGGTCAGTGGTTGAGCGTCAACCAATGAACCATGAGGTCACAGTTCGATTCCCGGTCAGGGCACAAGCCCTGGTTGCGGGCTCGATCCCCAGTATGGAGTGTGCAGGAGGTGGCCAATCAATGATTCTCTCTCCTCATTGATGTTTCTCTCTCTCTCCCTCTCCTGTCCTCTCTGAAATCAATAAAAAAACATATTTTAAAAAAGGAAAGAAAAGAAATCATCAGTCCAAGAGATGCCCAGAGTTCTCAGTGTCCTTTCTTTTGAGTCACTGTAGTCCCTGGGTTCTGACACAATGATATCCCTCATGTTGTTGGGAATTCTGCTCTGAGTACCATCAGAGAAAGCAAGCAACACCCAAAACCTTCTCCCTGTGAACCACAAAGGCTTTCAGGCCTGGTGGTAGCTTTCTTCCCGGAAGCAAAGAAGGCCCCTTTCTTTCCTTTCCTCTTCCAACCTCAGTGCCCAGCCCAGCTTGGAGCCAGAGGATGCCTGCCCACAGACCTGCCTTAAGGAGGGTCCGCTCCCCGGCACCAATTGGCCCATCAAAGTGGCACTAGGGAGAGTCTCTTACAAAGTGTGAGTCCAAACAGCCAGGGCCCCAGAATTCAGTCCCAGACCAGATTTCATCCTGGAAGGGATGTAGAGACCGAAAGGAACAAGAGGGTTCTCTAAGGTCTCCTGTCCTTCATCCCCACAAACAATAACCCTCAAGCACAGAGTCCAGTCAGGGAAAACCCTCGGGCACACGTACATATTTCACACAGGGAGCCATTGTACCAGAGCCAATCCATGCTCAGGGCAGAGGGAGCAAGTCAGTGGTCACCAAGATGGTTCATCTAAACCAAGGTGATACTTCATGCAGTAGGAGGCTAAGGAGGCGGGTAGAAACCAAGTTGACATGGCGGGGATCCTGACAGGACACCAGCAGGGGACCCCATAAATGTACCTAGAAAAGCTGCCTTCCTTCTGTCTTCCCCACAACCAGCACCGTCCTAAGTCCCTTGTGCTGCCCTCTGGTCGCCACTGGTTTGCTTTTGAGATATTCATTCCAGAGTGAAGCCTCCCCCGAAACTGTTCCTCCCCCAGGGCCATATGCCCGTTTCTTGGTGCCCTTTGCAAAGCAGGGGGGTCTAAAGATTAAGTTCATTCTAATATAAAAAAACTATACTTTCCCGGTTCATCCAAAGTGATCAACTTTCAATGAAAGAATGTCTCAGGCAACGCACAGAACAGGGATGTTCATCTCACAGACGTGACCTTCTGGCTACTGCTTGAATCTTCCCCTTGCAACCAACACTATTCCACACCTTCTTCTGTCTGGTGAGAGAAGTAGCCAACTCCCAGGCATATTGATCCCCAGTGGCTACACTATTGCCCCTACTGTTCTGCTCTTGAAACCAATGTTAGGAAAACATCAAGTCAGAGCCCGAGAACAGCTTGATTCTTACCAGGAGGAAGCAGAACGTGTCTCTCTCAACTAGGACCTAATCCAAAGAGAAAGCACTGCTCCGAGTGGAAGCTGCTGGTGCTGTGTAGAAGCAGCTGTAGAGGTGACAGTGGCTGATCTCTCTGCTGGGCGACACGTGCGTGGGTGAGCGCATTTCCTGGGATGAAGCAGCATCCTGCTTCCCTCTCCCTACCCACCCTGCCACCAGGGAAGTTGACATTTCCCCTCTTTTGGAAGAAACAGACACAGGCATCAAGGGACCAGGATTCTTTTTTTCCTATTTCTGCCCTGTAGGAGCTGCGTTATTATCATCCCTTAACCTCTCTGCACCTCAGTTTTCTGTCTGTGAACTAGAGATAGCATTTGGCTGCCAAGCCTGGAGCCGGCTGAGTGGTGCCACTTCCTGGGAAGTCCCTCCCACAGCAGGGAGACCGGGCAGAGGGGCAGTGGATGCTTTCCATCTGACCCTCCCATCCGCCTGCAATTACCCGGTGAGAGTTTTCCGTGTGGAATAGGCACGCCGGAGATCAGTTTTCCCAGAGGAGACTCAAGACAGAATCTTAACACCACATGTTTAGTAGGAACCTGAGACTCTTTGACCTTGAGAGATGTCTGAGGACAGACTGGCAATGACTTTCATCCTCTGAAAAATGTCCCTTCGTGCCCCATCTTAAGCTGCCAGCTTCCATTCCCAGGCAGCTCTGGGTCCATGGAGGCCCTGCTCTCTTTACACAGCTGGGTCGCTCCATATCTCCCTCTGAGGCAAGTAATTCTGACTGACTCCGGATTATAATCCACCGGGCTCCATTAGCTCCAGCTTTAAGTCCTACTCCTTGTCCTTCCCTTGTTATAATAACTCTTTAGGGCACATGGACCCACCAATAAAAAGTATTGGACAGCAAGACATACAAGTGCCTCCCCCTCCAGAGGACAGGGGCTACTAACAGCAGTTACAACACCCCCTTCAGGGGAGGTCTGTGACCAGGAGGGACAGAGCTACTCAAAGTGCAGTTAGAAAGTTCAGGCCTGGCTCTGTAACCCCCATGCCTAGCTTTGGGGGCATTATAAAAAGGCCTATCTGCTTTCACCATGACTTTGCCACACAGGTGAAGCATCCAACTCAGACTTAAACATATATTCCTAAAGGTCGATGAGACCTGGGGATCGGATTTTCCCATAAAGAGCGATGAAGTTCAGCCCGGCCGGTGTCGCTCAGTGGTTGAGTGTTGACCTATGAACCAGTTTTTCTAATTCATCCAAGTTTTCCAGTTGCATTTTTCTATCTTTTTCATTTGCTGCAGTTATCTCTACACTGGCCAGATCTCTAGATGGAATACAGAATGAATCACCTCCAGAATTGAGGTGGTCGGCAAACCGCGGCTCGCGAGCCACATGCGGCTCTTTGGCCCCTTGAGTGTGGCTCTTCCACAAAATACCACGGGAGGGCGCGCACGTACAAGTCGTTTTTTGGCCTGGGCGAGTCTATTTTGAAGAAGTGGAGTTAGAAGAAGGCGGGGGGGGGGGGGGGGGGGGGGGGGGGGGGGGGGGGGGATTGGTCGGTCGGGCGACGGGAGACAAGGCACAGGCGGGCCACCGGATACACAGCGCAGGGGAGGTAAATTGTTTTGAGGTACGTTCGCTGAGGTCAACCCCTTCCAACTCTCCCATCCACACTCCTCTATCTGAAACAAGTATACAAGACGAGTGTGGATGGGAGAGTTGGAAGGGGTCGACCTCAGCGAATGGACCTCAATCAGATTGAGGACGTTTTTAGCAAAGGCCAGCTTAGGAGTACCCTAATTAAGTTAATAACAATGTACCTACCTATATAGTTTAAGTTTAAAAAATGTGACTGTCAAAAGAAATTTCAATCATTGTACTGTTGATATTTGGCTCTGTTGACTAATGAGTTTGCCGACCACTGAGTTAGACTAATAAAACGAACAGAAAATAGATGAGATCAAATAAATGTAGGTGAGCTGAACCAACAGAATATGATGTAACAACAATAAAAAATCCTCAGTCATATCTTTAAAGCAGACATAATGGCCAATTACAACAAATATGGGCATCTCTAATAGCTCCTAGATCAGAACCTCACCTCTGGAACAACTCTGTATCTATCTTGAAGTACAAACTAGTTGTCTTCCCTTTAATTTTTTTTTTTTTTTAAGAAAGAACTCATGGACATGGATAACACTGTGGTGATTGCCACGGGGAGGGGGCGAAGAGGGTAACGGGGAGATAAATGGTGATGGATGAAGACTTGACTTGGGGTGGGGAACCCACAATACAGTGCACAGATGATGTGTTGTGGAATTGTGTAACTGAAACCTGTATAATTTTGTTAACCAGTGTCACCCCAACAAATGCGATAAAAAATAAAATAAATATTTTAGGGATTTATCTAATAGTCAAAGACCCTTCTTGACTTTTTAAAAATCCTGTTGACCTAATTACTGTATCTAGTTAGGTCCCACACATATACTGGGACAGATGAGTAACAGACACGGAAAATAACAACAAAGAGGTTGCTGACAGCCGGGAGTCTGTGAAAGGCTTCAGAGAAGAAAACCACCAGTGGACACCAAAGTAAACGAACAGTGTAATTTCGAAAGATATTTACTTTAGAAAAAAAAAGTTTAACATCTGCTTTGTGCTCTCAAAATTTTTAAAGAAAACATGAACTCTACAAAACAGGAGATGAAACACATGATAATGAGATGGTAAACTGAGTTGGAAAAGGAGCTGGCAGAGTTAAGAATTCAAAGAAATTCACCATGGACCAGGAAAAAAAATCTAGCTAAGCGTTTATTTGCAAGTATAAAGGCATTATTCTACCATTTTCAAAATATAAGAAAACAACCCTTGCCGTGGTTTGTGTACTGCTAATGGACAGTTCTGCTCTCACATACTTGCCCAGTTGTGAACAGAGTAGGATCATATCCTGTCACTAGGAGGTGAGGATTCCTGTCAAGAGAACGGCTATTCTGATGTCAAATCCTGAAAAAGAGAAAGATTCTAAAATGAGAAAAAAGAAAAAAAGGATTTGGAATGCGAGCCTTAAATAGGAAGAAGAGGGAATTAATTTCTTTCTCTGTCTGAAGCTCATTCTCTTGAGCCTGGAATCCCAAGTCCCAGTGCGCTCAATGTTTCCAAAAGATAAGGGAACAATGGTCTCTGCCATAGGGAGGCAGGTTCGGGACGGAGTTAGGGAGTTCATGAGTTAGTCATAGAATAGTACCTAGCACATAGTAAACACTTGGTAAGTATTGGCTATCATCACCACCACATATTATTCTGTGATGTAATTACTATCGTTCAGCACAGTATCATTACTAAGACACCTTAGACTCAGCTGGGATTCAGAGATTTAAGGGGAGGCTGTGCGCTTGGTCTGAAAGGCTGGGGGGTGGGGAGAGATTTCCCTCCCTCTCAGAGGCCACTGTTGGCTGGGGGGATTAGTCCTAGTTCTAAAGGAAAAGGGAAGCAAGGTAAGGACAAGAAACCCAAACCTCACGGCTCTCCATGACAGCCATCCCTCCCAGTGTGGAGTTAGGAAGGGTGTTTATTAAGTTACCTTCAAAGGAAGAAAATATCAGGCTGGCTTCATACTTTTCCATAACATATTACATTTCAGAAAACACTAGAACATCTGTAGACTCCTGAGGATTAAATGTTTAAGCCAAGAGCTCCACAGTAAGCCATATTTCATTCATAAGTGAAGGAAATTTGAAAGGCATTCTCAACTATGCAAAAATCAACATACCCACAAAACCTTCTTTAAAGAAAAATGTATTTAACCGAAGGAGAAATAATTTTAAAAAATAATTTAAGCCCGGCCAGTGTGGGCTCAGTGGTTGATCATTGACCCATGAACCAAGAGGTCACTGGTTTAATTCCCAGTCAGGGCACATGCCCTGGTTGCAGTTGTGGGCTCGATCCCCAGTAGTGGGCATGTAGGAGGTAGTTGATGAATGGTGTTTCTCTCATAGATGTTTCTATCTATCCCTCTCCTTTCCTCTTCCTCTAAAAATTAATTTAAAAAAATTTTTTTTAAAAAATAAGCATATCCACATACCTAAGCATTAGATTGAGATCCTATTTAAAAAAACAAAACAGAATTCAAAAAGGTAAAATATGAAAAAGGCTGGTGATGAATACTGAAGATGTTAAGTATAAAATCAATCAAACAAAACTATAGTATGTATAGTTACCAACAGAATACAAGTGTCATAAATAATTCTTAACACATTGTAATTTTTTTAAATTGAGGTTTAAAACTCCAGATTATACTAACATAAACTTGGGAACTATGTGAGGTAGAGGGAGTCAGGGAGGAGAAATATAAGAAAGTAGAAGGCTCTAATATTCTTAATGTACAAAAATATTATTTTAGTCTCTATGTTAATACTTAGAAAAACTGCAAGTGTTATTTTAAAACAAAATGTATGCCTTCCAAAGTACTAAGAGGAAAAAGTAAGAAACATACAGTCAATATAGAAATCCAGATACACAAAATAAGAGGGAAGAATCATTAAACCAAACAAAAATATTTAATTTTATTGATATAAAAAATAACATGCAACAAAGACATAATATGAATCATTTTGTACTGAAAAAGTAGGCATTGGGCCATATGTAGCCCTCTGAAATATAAGGAGATATGAAAAGAAAAACAGTAGTAGTGAGAGTCTTTAATAAGCCTCCTTCAGTTCTTGACAAATAAATAGAATACAAAAACATAGAGGACCTGAATACAATTTGTAAGTCTGACTTAATGGATATGTAATGGAGTATTAAATTAATATTTCCTATATCATAGACACAATGATTTCCCCTTGCCCAGAGAAGTTTGAAGACTTGGATAAGTGTTTTTTGTGAACTAAATTTTTCACCACAGTATTATTTTATTATAACAACCAAGCAAACAGAAAAAGCAGACTAGTGAAATAAATCATGGTAATCATATGATGGATGTCACTGAGTCAATAAAAATCTTCAGCATGAGAAAATGCTCATGATATATTTCTAAGTATATGGCAAAATATGTTGCGCATTGAACCCATTTTGGGGAACATGGAAAAGTATGTGTGCCTGGGTATGAGTGCGGAACTGAGTAATCAAGAATAAGAATGAATATCCCAGATTTTAAAAATACGCCAGAAAGCCAGCCAGCATGGCTCAGTTGTTAAGCATCGATCTATGAACCAGGTCAGGGTTTGATTCCCAGTCAGGGCACATGTCCAAGTTCGGGTTTGACCCCCAGTGTGGGGTGTGCAGGAGGCAGCAGATCAATGATTCTCTCTCATCATTGATGATTCTCTCTCTCTTCCTTCCTCCCTGAAATCAATAAAAAAAAAAAATACATATTTTAAAAATACGCCAGTATTGGGCTCCTTTGTGACCATCTTACCGTAGCCATGATGGCAAATCACACTTAGTGATAAAGGTGGGGGCTTCTCTAAAATGAGGGAAAGTTCTCACTGGTAGCATCCCGAGCAGAGGTTAGTCCTGGAGCAAGAAGTGGTGGGGAGGCAGAGAGAGGTTTGGGCCCTGCCCAGGCCCAGAGGGCGGGACACCCAAAGGTAAGTGTTGAGAAGTGCAGGAAGTTCTTATGGAAGGGCATGCACATCTTTTACTTTTATGTATGACTTTCCATTTATATATTCAATTTTAAATTTTCTATTCTTCCCTTTTGTTCACAAATTATATGGATCAAATTAATTCTGTAGAAGAATCATATTAGTAAGAAATCCTCTGAGTTTTAATAAATGGGGGGAAAGTTTAATGTTATATATTTTAAATATGCCTCTGAGTCTTTCCAACTTTAGGAGGTATACAATCACCAGTCTTTTTATTTCCTTTTAAAAAATTCTTTATTGTTGAAAGTATTACATATGTCTCCTTTTATCAGCCTTTTTATTTCAATGTGAATAATTGGCAACCACCAGTTTTAAATATACATTTAAACTGATTAATAATAAAGGAAAACTCTGAATGGAAATTCATAATAGTAATAATGGGTAAAATTATTGCATACTTACTAGAAAGCACTTAGTTTTCTTAAAGTTTTAAGTATACTACTTATTTATTCCTCGTAATAACTTTATGAAATAAGCTACTATTACTTATCCCTCTTTTTAAGATGAGGAAAATAAGGTGCAGAGAGTGAAGTTGCTTGCACAGGGATACGTAACTATTTAAAGCTTCATTCCTCAGGAATCGGCGGTAAGAACAGCCAAGCACTTGATTCAGAGTGAACTCTAGCTTCGCTGAACCAATCAAGGTCTAGGACAGGACATCCTAAGTGCCTACCAGGTGAGCACCAAGGTCGGCAGATCCAAAATGAGGCTGTAGCCTGGCTACCGTGGCTCAGTAGTTGAGCTTTGACCTATAAGCCTGTAGGTCACGGTTTGATTCCCAGTCAGGGCGCATGAGAGATCTTCAAAGTGTAATATTTCGTTTGTGCATTAACACATCATTCCTTTTCACCCGGGGTACAAAGAATGCAGCACTCCAGGTGCGGTCTGATGGGTACCTAGTACGACATTGTCACTCCCTTCCTGGAGATGGAGGGCTTTGTTGTTGCTATCACACCAGAAATTGACTTGGTTAGCTAGATTTGCTAAAAATCCCACCTACCTTTCACTCTTCCCTCACCTTATTTGTGCTGTTGTTTGTGGAGCCAAGTATACAGTGGGGCCTTGACTTACGAGTTTAATTCATTCCGTGACGAAGCTCGTAACTCAAATTACTCGTATGTCAAATCAATTGTGAACGAGTGAGACACGTGATGCTGGGCTGATGTTGTGGCATTCACTGTGGCATTCACTATGACGTTTGCTGCGCCAACTAGCGGTGGGGTATTTGAAGCTGGCTCGTAACTCGAATTTTAGTTCGCAACTCAAAGCAAAAAATCGGCGAGAGACGGGTCGTATCTCGAAAAACTCGTTAGTCGGGACACTCGTAAGTCAAGGCCCCACTGTACTAGTAAGTTGTGACATTTAGAACACAATGCCTGGCTTATGGTCTCATTATAATAATCATTATTAACTTCATCTTATTAGCTATGACCACTCTGACCATTACAAAAAGGAATTACCACTTAAAATAAGATGTTAGGTCAGGCCCCACCTCCTTCAGCCTCAGAAATGAAATACTACCTTGCATTACCTCGGCTTCTGGATTTTCAAACCAGTGTCTGATCTCCCGGAGCCTTCCAGCCAGGCTACCTCCAATTAAGCCCCGCCTCCAGAGCGGTGTCTTCCTGGCCCCGCCCCCGTCTCCTAGGCAACCCGCGCCCGTCCCGCCCACTCCTGGACAGAGAAGCAGTCGGTCTCGTCGCTGATTGGCTGGCTCGGGCGCAGCTTGATGGCGTCAGGCTGAGCGGCCTCAGTCCCAGCAGACGCCCGGGGCGAAGGCCACAGATGTAAGGGGCTGGGCTGCTGCGGTCGCGGGGAGCGGGCAATGGAGGCACGCGCTCTCCCCGCACGTCACCATGAGTTTCCTAATAGACTCCAGCATTATGATTACCTCCCAGGTGAGCCCCGCCTCCTGCCCGGGCCCCCGGCGTCACTTTTCCGACCACAGAGTCGTCTCCTTGCGGCTCAGCGGTGCGGGCTGGCCGGTGTCTCGCCGCCTGCGCCGCCTCGACCGTGCGCGGAGCTCGGGGAGGGCTGGGGGTTTGCTGCGTCCGGCTGTACGCTCTTGTCGGGAGGCGGCCTGCGGCAGTCGCACCCCACCCAGCCTCCAGCCACTCTCCCTGCCCCCCACTTTCCTGTCCTGTTTGGGGGGGGTCGGGCGGCCTCAGAGAGGAGGGAGTAGTCCCCGAAACTCCCGCCTGCGCCCCTGACCCATGAATCGGGGAAGGTGTGGTTCCGGCGCCGTGCGCGGCGGGCCAATCGGAGCAGGCTCCTGGGGACACGTGGGCGCTGCTGGTTCGCTGTCAAACGCTGGATCCCGGTGTGGACGCTGTCACTGGAGAGATCCCCAAAGTGCTAGGTTCTTTGGACGAGAACACAGCATCCATCCTCTCTTGGCTGCCCGCGCTGTTCGGGTCCTGCCGAGTTCATAGCTGGATCCCCCTCAGGTGCAAGCACGCAGTAAACATTTGTTGGCCAACTCTTAATATTTGGAGAAGCTCGCACATCTTCCCCTCCCTCGTTTTCCAGTAATTTAAACTACCTTTTATTTTTTTACACTTCTCTTGGATTTATTGGGGTGACTTGGGTTAATAAAATTACATACGTTCCAGGTGTGCAATTCTATAATATATCATCTCTATACTGTATTGTGTATTCATCACCCTAAGTCAGGCCTCTCCATCACCATTTCTTCCCCCTGTACCTCCTTCTGCCTTACCCCACCCCACTTTCCCTCTGGTAATCACCATACTGTTGTCTGAGTCTATGAGGGTTTTCTGGTTTGTTTGTTTCGTTGGTTGGTTGTGTGTGTGTGTGTTTTGCTTAATTCCTTCACTTTTTTCACCCAGGCCCACGACCCCCTTCCCTCTGACAGCTCTTAGCCTGTTTGTTCTCTATGAGTTTTTTCTATTTTGCTTGTTAGTATTATTTTGTTCATTTGATTCCACATATGAGTGAGATCATATGGCACCTGCCTTTCTCTGACTGGCTTATTTCGCTTAGCACGGTGCTGTATAGGTCCCTCCATGCTGTTGCAAAAGGTACTATTCCATGGTGTAGATGTATCACAGCTGTTTATGTTATCCACTCGTCTACAGATGGACACTCAGGCTGCTTCCAAATCTTGGCTGTTGTAAATGACGCTGCAATGAACATAGGGCTGCATATATTCTTTTGAGTTAATGTTTCAGGCTTCGTCAGATAAATTCCCAGAAGTGGAATCATAAGGCAGTTTCGTTTTTAGTTTTTTGAGGTTAACGCCATACCTCTTTCCACAGTGGCTTCACCAATCAGCCTTCCCACCCACAGTGCAGGAGGGTTTTCTCTGAATCCTCGCCAGCACTTGTTTGTGGGTTTATAGAGGATAGCCATTCTGACAGGTGTGAGTCATATCTCATTGTGGTTTTAATGTCCATTTCTCTGATGATTAGTGATGTTGAGTATCTTTTTATATGTGTGTCGGCCATCTGTATATCCTCTTTGGAGAAGTGTCAGTTCAGCTCCTTTGCCCATTTTTTAATTGCATTGTTTGTTTTTGGTGTTGAGTTTTATAAGTTTCTCATAAATTTTGGATAGTAACCCCTTATCAGGTATATCATTGGTAAGTATATTCTTCCACTCAGTGGGTTGTCTTTTCATTTTGTTGATGGTTTTCTCTGCTGTGCAAAACTTTAATGGATGTAGTCCTATTTGTTTATTTTTTTTCTTTTGTTTCCTTTGCCCCAGGCAATGTATCAAAAAAATTGTTGCTATCAGAAATGTCTGAGATCTTACTGCCTATGTTTTCTTCTAGGATTTTTATGGCTTCAAGTCTTACATTGTAGTTTTTTTTTGTTTTTTTGTTTGTTTTTTTTTAAATATATTTTTATTGATTTTTTTACAGAGAGGAAGGGAGAGAGATAGAGAGTTAGAAACATCGATGAGAGAGAAACATCGATCAGCTGCCTCTTGCACATCTCCTACTGGGGATGTGCCCGCAACCCAGGTACATGCCCTTGACCGGAATCGAACCCGGGACCCTTCAGTCCGCAGGCCGACGCTCTATCCACTGAGCCAAACCGGTTTCGGCTCTTACATTGTAGTTTTTTATCCATATTGAGTTTATTCTTGTGTATGGTTTAAGATGGGGTCTAGTTTCATTTTTTGCACATATCTGTTCAATTTTCCCAACACCATTTATTGAATAGACTGTCTTTACCCCATTGTATGTTCTTGCCTCTATTCTGTTCCATTGATCTATATGTCTATTTTTATGCCAGTATCATGCTATTTTGATTACTATGGCCTTATAGTGTAGTTTGATATCAGGTAATAGGATTCCTCCAAATTTGTTCTTTCTCAAGATTACTGTGGTCATTCAAGGTCTTTTGTGGTTCCATATAAATTTTTAGAATATTTGTTATAGTTTTGTGAAATACACCATTGGTATTTTCATAGGCATTGCATTGAATCTATAGGTTGCTTTGGGTAGTATGGACATTTTAATTATGCTAATTCTTCCTATCCATGAACAAGATATATGCTTCCACTTACTGTATCTTCAATTTCTTTCTACAATGTCTTATAATTTTTCTGAGTACAAGTTTCTTACAGCCTAGGTTAAATTTATTCATAGGGTTTTTGTTTGTTTGTTTGTTTTAATCCTCACCCAGGGATATGTTTTTTGTGATTTTAAGAGAGAGGGGAACATCAATGTGAGATAGAAACATCCAACAGTGTAATCTAGGTATGTGTTTATTTATTTTATTTTATTTTATTTTATTGATGTAATTGTAAATAGGATCGTTTATTTCATTTGCCTTTCTGATAGTTCATTATTGATTTATAAAAATGCAACTGATTTCTGGGTATTTATTTTATACCCTACTATTATACTGAATTCATCTATAAGTTCTGGTAGTTTATTTGGTGGAATCTTCGGGGTTCCCTACATACAGTATTGTGTCATCTGCAAATAATGACAGTTTCACTTCTTCCTTTCTATTTGGATGGCTTTTATTTCTTCCTCTTGTCTGATTGCAGTGGCTAGGACTTCCAGTACTTATGTTGAATAAGTGTCCTTATCCCCATGTTACCCCCTACCCCCCCCCCCCCCCCCCGCTCATGCCCTCACCCCCCCCCCCCGTTGTCCGTGTCCATTGGTTAGGCCTATATGCGTGCATATGAGTCCTTTGGTTGATCTTTCCCCCTTACCCCCACCCTCCCCTACCTTCCTTCCAAGGCCCAACAGTCCAATCAATGCCTCTCCGTCTCTGGATCAGTCCTTGTTCATCAGTTTATGTTGTTCATTATATTCCTCAAATGAGTGAGATCATGTGGTATTTATCCGCTCTCCAGTTCCATCCATGCTGTGGCAAATGGTAAGAGTTCCTTTTTCTTCTTCCTCTTCTTAAAGAATACCTTTCAGCATTTCATATAATGCTGGTTTGGTGGTGATGAACTCCTTTAGCTTTTTCTTATCCGTGAAGCTCTTTATCTGACCTTCTATTCTGAATGATAGCTTTGCTGGATAAAGTAATCTTGGTTGCAGGTTCTTGCTATTCATCACTTTGAATATTTCTTGCCACTCTCTTCTGGCCTGCATGGTTTCTGTTGAGAAATCAGCTGACAGTCGTATGGGTATTCCCTTGTAGGTAACTGACTGTCTTTCTCTTGCTGCTTTTAAGATTCTCTCTTTGTCTTTTGCCCTTGGCATTTTAATTATGATGTGTCTTGGTGTGATCCTCTTTGGATTCCTTTTGTTTGGGTTCTCTGTGCTTCCTGGACTTGTAAGTCCATTTCTTTCACCAGGTAGGGGAAGTTTTCTGTCATTATTTCTTCCCCTGTGAGGCCATCCAGTCCAGGACTTTTGCTTGCTGGGTATTTTTTTTTTTTTTTGTATTACTGCTTTAATTACATTAATTGTTATTGGTCTATTCAGATTTTATGATTCTTTCTGACTGAGTTTTGGAGTATTTTATGTTTCTAGGAATTTGTCCATTTCACCCAAGTTGTCCAAATTTTTGGCATATAGTTGTTCACAGTATTTTCTTACAATTCTTTGTATTCCTGTGGTGTCCGTTGTCATTGCTAACCCATTCATTGTTTAATGACATGTATTTAGCCTCCGTGTGTTTGGATGTTCTTAAGAGTTCTTATTGTAGTTGATTTCTAATTTCATACCATTGTGATCTGAGAAGATGATATGATTTCAAACTTCCTGAACTTATTTATGTTTATTTTGTGTCCTTACATGTGGTCTGTCTTTAAGAATGTTCCATGTGCACTTAAGAAGAATGTATAGTCTGCTGCTTTGGGATGCCATGTTCTGCAAATATCAATTATATCAGATGTAGTGTGTTATTTAATGTCACTGTTTCCTTGTTGGGTTTTTGTCTATAAGATCTGTCCAGTGATGATAATGGGGTACTAAAGTCACCTACTATGACTATATTGCTATCAGTCTCTCCCTTAAAGACCTCTAAGAGTGTTTTGTAGGTGTTTCTTTTAATATATTAGGGGCTCTTATATCGGATGCATATATGTTTACCATGCTTATATCCTCTTGTTGGATCGATCCCTTTAGTATTACGTAGTAACCTTCTTTGTCTGTTGTTATAGCTTTTGTTTTAAAATCTGTTTTGTCAGATATAAGAAAAATGACAATATTTAAATAGCTCTTTTTACTCAATGTAGAAATAAAGATGTCAGTGAGGAAATTGGCATTGCACGTAGCCTCTAAGACTTTTTTGTCTAAAGTTTTACATATGTCTCCTTTTTCCCCAGTTGACCCCCTCTATCCCCCCACCTCTAAGACTTTTAACATGGATGTAATTGATAGATAGGTTGAACCAAGAAAGTGGCTTTCTGATATTTTATGCCCTTTAATACTTTAACTTTTACACATTGCATTTCACAT